ACCAAGGCAGCTATCAAATACAAGCCTGGGACAAAAACATAAAGCCTGGGGGCCTGGACCTGGAGACTTTTTGCCACACTGGGGCTTGAAGACATGACAGGGATAGTAATTTGAAGATGAAAGCATGAGGCTTCAGCAACTGAAAATGGATAACCAGAGAACACCACTAGAGAGGAGGGAGAAAGAGATCTTTGGAGCCACTCGTGGTCCCGGGAAACCCAGAAGCCAGGCAACATCAGCTAAATTCAACAGGTAATGAGAAGCACATGGCTTTGGTGAATCTCAGACTCCTGGAAAGGATGTCACCCTACACAGCACTGATGGTCTCGCTGCCTTCCTAAAGCAAGACACTCATGACCTAGACTCCAAACTTCATGTTCTCTCAGTAGGCTCTTCTGCAGGGGATGACACAGAGTGTAACACTGATGGAGAAGGCATTTTTGATTCTACTTACAAGCCAGACATTTAGTAAATGCTCTAAATATGGTAACTCAGATAGAACTGTGATGAAGAGAAGACTGATGATGAGGAAGAAGGAAAAAAATTAAGTTCTCCATCACCATATTCAGAAACAGACTTAATTCTGCATCCAGCCAGAAATCAACCACACCACAGGAACTTCTGCCTTGGCAGCCCAGCAGGGTGAGAACCAGCTAAGGGGGAAAAGGAAGGGAGGGAGGGAGGAAGAGAAGGAGGGGAAAGGGAGAGAAAGAGAGAGAGACAGGCAGAGAGAACCAGTGAGAAAAGCGGAGAATTATAGGACTTTGTGCATAGGCCTGCCTCCCCAAGGTATCATAGCAATGTCAGATAACCAGAGATTAAAGGAAGGGATCAGGGTCTCTTTCCCACATACTTTACACACTTAGAAAAGGGTAAAATCAAAAAATATTTTTCTTATAGGTAGAAAACAGAAAAAAAAAAAAAAAAAAAACAAAGGGTCTGGGGAGATAGCTCCTGGCAAGTTCAAGGGCCTGAGTTCAATCCCCGGTTAAAAAAAAAAAAAAAAAAAAAAAAAAAACAAAGCACCCAATTACTTGATTTCTACTGACCCAGAGAATTTACCTATCTCAAGAAGGAGGAAGTTACATAGGTCAGGAAAAAAATGACACCCTCTCCAAAAAAAAGTACTTGAAAAACGTCTTAAGGGAAAGTCTGTGATTATTCCAGGAATGGACAACAATCATGACTGGATACCATTTCAGCCACAAAGCGACCATGAGAGCTTGCTTTCCAGATGGCAAAACAAAACCATGAAGAACTTCACTGAACTGCACAAAGCCCCTGTCCTAGAATGACAACACCCACTTCTGTGCCCTGAACTTTCACGGCCAGTCACTCAGGCTTCTGTGAAAGATTTGGAGATGCTCCTTAAAATGGCCCTGGCCACAGTCATACAGTTAGGATGTGTGACAGATGACATGCGCACACTGGACTACAGCTACCCTACTGTGTGTGCTTCAGGCCTTTGCATTCTCCTACTTGCCAGCTTTTTTTTTTTTTTCTTTTTGGCGAAACCGGGGATTGAACTCAGGCCCTTACACTTGCCAGGGAAGCGCTTCATTCCACTGAGCCATCTCCCGGGCCCCTTTTTTTTTGAGACAGGGTCTTGCCATGCAGCTCAAGTGGCCTTGAGCTCCCTTTGTAGCCCCATACTGGTCTCTAATTCCCAGTGATCCTCCTGCCTCACCTCCAAGTGCTAGGATTACAAGTATGCACCACCACACCAGGCTTTAACTTTCTAGCTTTGACAGTAAGCTGCCAAGTGAATGAGAGGACAAGCACAGCCTGTCCTCACAGAACTTTCTGGAGTAGAAGGTTTATATTGCCCTAGGTCGCAGTCATTTTGTCATCACGGAGACACAATGCCTGATACCCACAACTTAAAGGAGACTGGAGTAAGCAAAATAAAACAAAAAAGACTGCCGTAAGGACACAAGGTGAATCCTTTCAGCAATCTACTGTTAGGATGTGATGAAACAGGACATCTTTAGTACAACATAGATCAACTTAAGTGCCCAGACACTTCCATATAGCACATTTGGGTTAACAGTTTCAGGAATATTTTGAAAAGTAATAAAACCCAGGAAGAAATACACATCCAAAGTCTACCAGTATTTATTGATCAATTATTGAGCATGGTACGTATTTTCTCATTATCTCATTTAACTCACAAAAACTCCATTTTATACTGAGGCTCAAGGAGGCTGACTTTCCCAAGAACTAGTGACACATAAAGTCAAAACTTCCACTTGGGGTGCTGTAGACTCAAGCACCTTTTTCACCATAGCTGTTTATATGTAACTTTGTGTGTGTGTGTGTGTGTGTGTGAGAGAGAGAGAGAGAGAGAGAGAGAGAGAGAGAGAGAGACCAGGGATCAAACTTAGACCTTGCCTTTGCCAGGCAGGCACTTATGCCCCTGAGCCATCTCCCCAGCCCTATACATGGCTTTTATTTATTTTTTTATGTATTTAGTACAGGGTCTACAAGATGTCACTATACAGATCAGCTTGTAGTGATTCTCCTGTTTTCAGCCTCCCAAGTGCTGGGATTACAGGCGCATGCCACCATGCCCAGTCTCAGTCACCATCTCAGAGCTCCCCAGGTGCGGGGCTGGCATGGCATGCCAGGGACTGAACCTCAGTCCCTTTGTCTGCCTAAGCAGGTGCTTTAATCCGCTGAGCTATCTGGCCAGCCCTATAGCTTTCAAAAAAGTTTTTATTTGGACATAAAACTGTAGAGAAACAAGTAATATGAGGGCTCTATGTAAATGAATGGGAATATTTTTTAATAATTTGAAAATGTTGGACCAGCAAGATAGCTCAGAGGACTAAGCACCTGCTTAGGTAAGTGCAGGGACCCAGGGACCAGGGTTCAATCCCTGTTGCCACATGCTGTGTGAGGCCCTGCCCCTGAGCACACCGAGCAGGCCACGGAGACTGGGGATGGTGGCACAAACCTGTAATCCCACCGCTGGGGAGGCTAAAAACAGGAGGCTCACTATGAGTCTGAGCTGCTTGGTGAGATCCTGTACTAAATACATTAAATAATAATAATTTCAAAATGTTAAATCTGAGATACTGTCATATGCCTGGAATGACAATCTGTTCACATAATGTAGCATAATAATCTACATCCCTCAGAAATAAGAAGTTTGAGAGATCCCTTGCTGACCATTCAACAGATGTCTAGGGCTAGGGAGATAGCTCAGTGGAATAAGTGCCTGCCTGGCAAGTGCAAGGTCCTGAGTTCAATCCCTGGTACCACCAAAAAAAAAAAAAAAAGTTATACCCAACAGATGTCTATTTGCTTTCAAATCCTTTTTTTACGCTTCCTCCCAGTTATCCTGTGTCTGTGTCCAGTGAAGCCCCGAACTATCCCATCTTCCTAGCTTTTCATTTCTTACGTTTTTACCATTTTGACTTCATCCCAGTAGTCTTATACTGTTCTTTAACAAAGCTTAATCTTACTTTGATAAACACATTAAAAATGTTAATCTATATAATAAGTGTGTGCTTCTGCCTTACCAGAGTGAAAATTTCCAATGGGAGAAACTTGTTCACAATTGGCTCTGATTTGTTCATAATTGGGATCAGCGACAATTCCCAGAGCTAAGAATACAGCAGAGCACAAAAATACTTGTAGAACTGAACAAGCTCTCAGATTTTACACGGATATACCTGTGTTCCTCAAACTAAGTAACACTTTGGAACGCGGGAGGCTTCCTTTATTTTATTTATTTTTGGTTAACTCTAGCACCAGAGTAAAATTTTGACTTCACCTTAAAGCAACAATGTATCTCCTTTTTAAAACACAAAACATAATTGAAAACTAAGCGCAAAACAGTAACGAGCTCTTCAGCCATCTGCCACAGACACATTACAAGCACTCCAATACGGAACCAAACTGAAAGGGGTGGGAAAGCCATGAACTGCACATTCCGGACGCGCTCCGTCCTCCCCGGGCTCTGGCCACAGACCCTGCGCCCGCCGCGATCCTTCCCCGGCCCGGCGGAGCGAGGGGCTGGGTCCCAACACCGGACTCAGGTCTGCTCCAAAGAGGCAGGCGTCCGAGAGGCGCAGCTTGGGCAGCCGCTGAAAAGTTCTGAGGCCCCGGAGATCCGAGCAGCTAAACTGGAGCTCAGCTCTCCGCAGACTCTGCGGTCTTTCTCAGGGCTTAGGGGCCGGAACGCCTCCTCCAGAGAACAAGAGTTACCCTACATTTGACACATTGGCTCCAGGAAGAGGGGGGGAGGAAGCGTGGGCCGGAAGCGTGAAGAGATTTCCTGAGCCCCACCCAGGCCCGGCTCCCCGGCGCCCGGACTGGGGGCCCACCCGGCGCTAC